TTAGAGGCGCCTAAACTGGACAAGAATCGACTGCGCGATCTGCTTGGTCCACGCAATGAAATAAGATTGCGTGTTGGTGAGCCACTGAGCATTCCTATCCCTATCAAGGGAGCACCCAAACCCACTGTAAGTTGGACAAAGGACGGCGGTTCAGTGCCACAGACTGCCAAGATCACCGACACTGAGGAGCTTACTGGATTGGACATTCCTTCGACAGTTCGTGGAGACAGTGGCAAATATAAGGTTCACCTCAGCAATGACTATGGCGAGGATGAAGCTGACATCAATGTCATTGTCATGGGTGAGTATCGCATTGGCTTACCACTGCACTTCCTCAATTGATGAACTTAGCGCTTGTGTTCTCGCACCCCTCATGACACACTTTTTGAAGTGTGATGGGCAAGATGCTTAATTTTTTTCTCTTTTATAGACAAACCAAAGCCTCCGCGTGACTTTGAAGTGTTTGACGTATTCGCTGAGCACTGCATGCTAAGATGGAAGCCACCTGAAGACGATGGTGGCACACCAATCACGGGTACTTAAATACTTTTTCATCATATCCTCACTTCTCATGGTGCTGTAATTAAAGTTCCATTTTTAAAATGTGCAAACAGATTACATTGTTGAAAAATGCAACAGTGCTACGGGTGTCTGGGAGCCCGTGACTGCAGCTATCAGAGACAACCAAGTCTTAGTCAAGGGTCTAGAGCCAAATCAACTCTACCACTTCCGTGTCAAAGCTGTGAATAACATCGGTGAGTCGGCACCCGTCCAGACGAAGAACGCGGTGCTCGCTAAGAACCCTTATGATCCGCCATCAGCGCCACAGGACTTTGAAATCGTCTCCTACGACAAGCGTTCAGTTTCGTTTGAGTGGAAGCCACCCAAATCCGACGGTGGTAATCCTATTCAGGGTATGTCTGTCTAAATTTACTCATTAATACTACTTAATTTCCAAATAAGCAGGCGATGAGGCATAAATTTGCCTATTACTAATTTTAGGATATCAGCTTGAGAAAAGATTGCTTCCGAGAGGAGATTGGAAAGCGGCTACGAACAATCTCATTCCGGGAACTAAGGTGACCATCTCCAACGTCGACGAGGGCATGACCTACGAGTTCCGAATTTGTGCCGTTAATGACGGTGGACCGGGTGACTATGCCCAACTTGACAAGCCTCACACTATTAAGGACATGATCTGTAGGTGTTTTTAACACTCCCTGTAAGGGAAAATTTCATGTAAGTCGAGTAGTTAAGCAATGGGATTGTCCCCTCTTCAGTCCCACCTGGAAGTCCAAATGAGTTAAATGTGGACACTGTGAACAAAAATGGTGCAAAGCTGAGCTGGAAGCCTCCAAAATCTGACGGTGGCGCGCCAGTTACAGGGTATGTGGTAGAAAAACAGAACGACAAAGGTGATTGGATTCCAGTGTTGGACACCAAGGAGGTCTCAGCCTTTGTGCCCATGAAGGAAGGCGAGACAGCTCAATTCCGCGTGCGAGCCGTCAATGTGGAGGGACCTGGCGAACCGACTCGTCCCACAACTGCTCTCACAGCTGTGAACAAACCCACTGCTCCTCACATTGCCACGCCTGACGACGGAGTTATTGGTGGACCTGGAACAGGTGTTGGTGGACTCCAAGATGTCACAATTAAGGTCGGTTTGCAACTAAAATGGTGTCACGATTGTTAACCGATCCTCCATTATTGACTCACCTCGTGTTGTAGGCTGGTCAAGAGCTGAGGTTGCCCGTAGCATGGTTTGGCTACCCCAAACCGACGGCAAACTGGCTGTTAAATGATAATCCCATAAAGGCTGGTGAGAATAACGCGGAGTTGCTGGAGGAAGGGCCACCCAAGCCATCAGGGAATGATGCCACGGCACAGCTACAACAGGAGCCAGGGGGCACCTTTATTCTCAAGGTGCCAAAAGCTCGTCGAGTCAACTCTGGTCGTTACCAGATCCGTATTGTCAACGATCAAGGACAGGCTTCTTCATCCTGTCAAGTCAATGTTATCGGTCAGTTGTAGATCAAAACAGATGACTGAGAGGTGTTTTATCCTCAAATTCACA